AGAAGACCGACCAAAGGAGGATCCCGACTATGAAATTCTTTAAAAAAAAATTTATTACCATTAAAATTGATGTAAACAGTATGTCTTACAGTAACATGTTACTTTATCATATTGTTCAAGAAAAAAAAAAATATATATATATATATATATATATTTTATTTTGTCCTTACTCAATTGTGTGTTTTCTCCTTAGGGGGTTTATGAAGTAAAATAAATTGGATTGTCTTTTTCACCAAATAAGAGTCCAATGGAGGAGTTTTAGCTAAATTTTCCTTTTTTAACCTCTAATGAAATATCAAAGTAAAAATGAGTGTAAAAAAAATTTAAGAAGTGAAATTTATTACAAATTAATAATTATATATATGAAAAATATTATGTAAAATTAGTTTGTGTTATATATATGAAAAATATTATGCAAATTATTATTATATATTATGTAAATCACTACAAAAAATTAAAGTTTTAGAGACAAAAATTTAGAGACAAAATTATTTTTTAGGGACCAAATATTTTTATTGCGAAAAGTGTCGTTATTATATTTTTAGCAACGAAAATTAGACATTAGTGATGAATTATTATATTTTTGCGATCAAATTTTTTGTCTCAAAAAATAAATTATTTTGAGATCAAACTATTTTATCACTAAAAGTCTATTTATTAGTGACATTTTTAAAATTTTGTTGTTAAAAGTCTTGTTTTTTATTTTTTGGGACGACCTTTTAGCGACTATCCTCATGACGATAGAAATTGATTTCTAATTTACTTTTACAACAAAATTTTCACTTTTAAAGACCAAAACATTTGGTTCCTAAAACTCTTTTTTGTTGTAGTGAATGCTTGATAATTAGTTAGAATATTTTTCAATTCGTCAATCCACCCAAAACTGTCCAAACTGCAATTTATCGATCCACTAATCTATTAATCCGCTATTCGATTTATAATTTTACTCTCAAACAATCTAAATCACACCACGCACACCCCGTTGATAGATAAAAAATAAGGAAAATAACAAATTAATGTCAGTTTTAAGAAAGAATTATAATTTTATGATAAATTTTATACATTTTAATAATTAAAGTCATAATTTTTTTTTATGAATCTTAATTATTTTAAAATAATATCACTGATTTGTAATTTTTTTTTTATAAAAAAAAGGAGATTGAAGAAGATTTTTCCTTCTTTCTCCTTCTTTATTTAATTATAAATTTTTATTATTTTATATTTCTCCACTAAAAATTATTCACTGTGTTTGGTTTGAGTTTTCTGGATTAAGTTTTTTGAAAATTGACCTTTTTGATTTTTTTGTTTTTTTATTTTTAGTGAATATTTTTTAAATTTTAAACATTTTTTTTTACTTTTTTAGATGCACCTTAATTAGATGTATCTAAAAAGTAAAAAATTTGTGAAAAAATATTTTAAAAAATTAATAAATACATAAAAATATAAAAAATGTACTGAATTCTTGTATTTTTTTTTATATTTTTGGTATTTAACACAAATATTATACTTTTTAAGTATATTTATGTTAGGTGTATTAAAAAAAATGCTTAAAATATTAAAAATATTCGGTGAAATAAAAAAAATACACAAAACGAAAAAATAAAATTTTTTAAAAATTAAATTCTAAAAACTGAAACCAAACAGAATGATATTAGACATTTGATTAATGAGATCATACTCAAAAAAAATGATATTAGACATGTATGTGGTACACTCGATCAACGAGCTCATACCCCAAAAAAAAAATGATATGTTTGATTTTGGTTGCTTTTTTGACAAGTATTTTTATGGACTATTTGGGTACATAATCACATAATATTCTTGAAAATAATAAATAATTTATGCTCTGTTAGGCTTCTCACCTTACCGAGATAATCAAGGAGCAACTCAACAATTTATTTGGATAATGTTTATCACCTCCATATATAAGGTTACCATCTTATAAGAAATGGAGCAACAATCTAGTTAGACAATGTATGCCCTATTTAAAAAGTATGCTCACGAAGGGTTAGGTATGCAACACATAATTTGAATACATTAAATTAATTACTTATTTATAGAGACGGTATTAACTTGAGTATTAGAGCGTCCGATAGAACACCAACTTAACTCTATTTTACAAATTCATGACATGATTTTCATCTCTTTCTTAATCTCTACATCATTCAATGTGGTCCAATTTTTTTTTTATTTTTTTACATAACTTTTAAATCAAACCAGAACTAGAACCAAGAGATACAAGTGGTTTGCTTAGCTGTTCTTATAAACAATGTTTGGTTTTTTTAGAATTAGAATTGAACCATTTCATCACAAAAATTGGACCAAACCATATAATTGATTCGGTTCGAACATGTTGTCGACCTCGTGCATAGTCATGATTTAGGGGCACCTAATACGAATAAGAAAATAACATTAGCATTAATGTCCATGGCAATATTATAATTCTAATAGTAAACTGTATATTGATGTAGATGGTTTGTCTCTATGGTCAATTGTATCATGCTTAATTAGTTCAAACTTATCTCAATATTTTTTTTTAATTATCTAAATAGAGATGCCAATAATGTGGCCTATCATTATTTAAGTTGGGGGTGGTGAATGGAGGGGGTCTCTATCATGGCTCTTTACGAAAAATTATTGGTTTGTACTGAGGGGTTATGTAGTCATATTTTTTAAGACTATTTTAGAAAGGTGGTTAAAAATTGTTTTTTAATTTTAAATTTGTTTTGGATCATATTTTTCATATGTTTATAAAATAAGTTAAAAAAAATTAATTTTTAATCATTTTCTCAAAACAATTCTTTAGCAATAATAATTTATCATTTTTTTTTATATTTTTTAATTATCTAACATAAATTTGTGTGTCTCATCCTCTCCATCAATCATAACACTTTTGAAATACCATATGACGGTACCTCAAGACCAACCAATAATTCTCCTTTCTTACCCCATTTTACCGAAATAAATAAATAAATAAAAATGAGTTGGTAATTTTGTCCAGAAATTCTAAGTGATAATGTTAGAGTTTTTTCATTTATTTATTGGTTGAATTTTAATTGATTAATTTTTAGGAAGAACTGCCAGTAAATCCAAGTTGAGGGTACATTAGGCAATAGATCCAATGATTAATTCAAGTTGAAAAGTTAGGTAAAAAATTTCAAAAAAGCTGCTGGCGATGGCCGACAACGAAAAATTATAGCATAGAGTTAAACAGATATTTGAATATTTGAATAGATTTAGAGTTTTGTAAATAGCTGACATGTGTATATATTTGAATAAATAATTGAATACATATGTGATATATGTACAAATATATAATATTTGAACAGATAGACAGATATAATTAAGTTTTTGAACAGATAACACGTTCTTTTGGACAAATAATATCATTTTGCTCTAAAAAAAATTAATTTTGACTTATTAGCCTAATAGTTTCATAAATGGATCTCTGGCGTGAGTGTCATAATTTTTAAACAAATTGCATTTCTTGCATTCTATTCCTACCATAGTTTTCATCATCAACATTTTAAACTCAATTTTCGTAAGTTAATAAATATTCAAAACTCCTCTGTAGTCATCTTATAATTGTAAAAGAAAATAAAAAAGAAAAAAGAAAAAAAAAACTTGACATAATAGATTTTTATTTTTTTATTTTCTAAAGACATAAATTATAATAGAATCAAAAGTAAGGAGGAAAGACAAGTTTGGTCCTCCACGTTTGTTCGAAGAATTAAATTGAATGAGATTGTTAGTTAAGGGATGGTTAGTGAAGAGATTGTTTATATGGAGAATGTTAGTGAGGGAATTAAGTAAAGTGTATTTGTTTTGATGATAATGGAAGTGATGATTAGTGATGTGATTATTAAATTATTTTTATATAAAATTTAAAAAATTATATTTCTATATTAATAAAAATTCTAAAATAAATATAATTTTTTTTTATTACAAATAACGGGTTGTAGTTGGGTAAAAAATAAAATAAAAAATAATAAAATAGTATTTATTCCCCTCACTATTTTTTCAATCTCATACCTTCTCCAACTTTGTTAATCCAATTATATGGGGGGATTATCAATCTGATTGGACTAATAATCCATTCATCAATTTCCTTAACCAAATATGTTTTAGTAGGTCTAACATCACTATCACTCTAATGCTACCACTCATGGGGATAACAAACATGGCCTTTGGAAAAATAGCAAGCATGCTATGCTTAGCAGGTTTTGAATCTGTCTCCTTAAAAAATGCTATACTCAAATTTTTTACAAATTTTATTTGTTAACTGATGTGGCACCTCAATCATGTTTGCCACGTCAACTTGTTTTTTTATTTTTTTATTTTAGACATTTAATTAATAACATGTCACATCAATTTGCAAATTATATTTATAAATTTTATTTGTTTGTACAAGTCTTCTTAACTACTCGCACACCAAACTCCTTTCAGGACGGATGCCTAGGCTATATAACATCACATTCTGGGCCACATCGTTAGGTAGGCCCAAAAATTTTAGACCCCACAATCTGGGTCGTCTTGGTCAGCAAACCCATGTATTTATATGAAAGAAACTGGGGACAAAGTAAATTTCAGTTCAAAAAACTCTTTTTCATTCATACCACAAAATAGAAATACTGCACTGCTGTGGTGTTTTATTATTATTATTATTATTATTATTATTATTCTTATTATTATTATTTTGTAAAAAAAAAAGAGTCTAATTCTAAAGTATGGTTTGAAAGGGTTGTCACCCTTTAGGCAAACAACAATGCTAGAGACCTACATTTTATATCTACAAATGCATCCACAGTGATGTGGCAAGAGTGGTAAGTCCCATATCATTGAGTATCTAACCAATCAAAAATTGAAACTTATCAAATCACAATATTGTGGGTTGAATTGTCAGAGATTTTTGGGGGTCTAAAACATTTTCCTTAGGATGTGCTCAAAAAAAAAAGAAAAAAAAGAACATTTTCCTTAGGCAAAACCTACAAAACTTCCCATACTGACAAATTGTACATTTAAGGCTTTATTAACCTGATGCAAACACATGTACAAGCCTAATAACTGTATTGATTTACATAATACAAGACATTCACTCAACAATGTGCTGTATGTAATAAAGTTTTTAGGTAGCTATAACTATTATTAAATCAACAGCTGAAATAACTACAGACAAAGCAGAACCAACATAAAGAACCGTTACTGTGATTAAACTAGGGATATACCAATATTAACAAGCCAAATCTAGTAATCCCCTACACTCGTAAAACAGCAGAAAAATAGACAACAGTACTTACCCAGAAGTATGCCAAACCTCAAGGCACCTACAGTGATACTGCAACATCAACTTTGTCCATCCATGATCTAATGGCTGATCTTATCTTTGATAGTTTTGACTTTGTTGCTTCTTCTCTATAGCAGACTGGATGGTTAGGGCTTGCTTTCTCCTTTGGAATAGTATTGAGGGCTAAGTCGACGCAAGATTGGGGCAGAGCAGTGCCTTTATAACCTTTGCAGATATAGCTTATGAAGTTTTCATAATCCTACAAAAAGAGAAATATGTCAATTTGTCAAGACCCCATGTCACTGCCAGCTTACACTACCAATTATCTGAGCTTCAAGAACTTGCACTAAAAACATCAATTGCTAAAGAATTTAGAGCAAACCATACGTATTGCAGTGTAGAAATATAACCCCATAATTCACAGCTTAGTAGCAAACACTAGGAAATTGTGAAACATTGGAAATTAACCGGCATAAAGCCAAAAGGAAACTAACCTCGTAGAGGGGTACTCCGTCAACAACCACCCAAGGCACATATTCATGGGGAGGTTGAAGAGTATTTGTTTCTGCTGCATATTGTAGTTCAAGCTGCACAGAGATTATAAATTTAGGCTAAGTTTGGGAACCTCCTACATTAGCCAAAAAGTCAAAGTCACTAAAAAGCCCAAAAAACTAAAGAACTATACCCTTCTCTACTTTTTGCATATTTTTTCATACAAAGTCAAAAAATCATCCCAAACATACTAAAATGTTCAACCATAATATGTTCAAAAAATCATCCCAAATATCCTATTCTCAAAACAACCCTTAATCAACCATAAAATGTTCATGGAAGAAAGGTTTCACACATAGTGAAAAAGCATCCGAAACACAAATAAAGGAAAGTCATCTGATCTAAAGGGATAAAGAAAAAGTTCAACTAGGTACCTCAGGTGATATATATGTAGCCCCAGTATGATAAAATGACAAAAGCCTTTTCAACAGGGAAGGCATATGCCATTAAAATCTCTGGACATCAAGAGTGGAGTTATTTTTTTGGTTCAAAGGCCAATATGGGTTTTAGATATTTTCAAGAACACTATATCATCATAATTGATTGATGTGCATCATTTCATGTGGAAAAAAAAAAATAATAATAACACATCATCTTTTTATGATTTTCATCCATTTTCTAAAACATCCACTACATTTCTTGTTGCCCTTCCAATTTGTTCTCCACACAACTTTTCTCATCTTCATATTACAAAGAGGCTCATACAAGAGACCGAAAATCTTTGTTGACATAAATGCCACCTCTTAACCCAGTGTCTAATCTATGTTTGAACAATTAGGCCTCGTTTGGGAAGCGACTCGTTTAGCCAAAAAGCCAAAAAAGTCACTAAAAAACCAAAAAGCCAACAACCCATACTAAAAAGTCAAAGATTCTCTTTTCTCTCTACTTTTTGCACATCTTTTCGTAAAAAATCAAAAAATCATCCCAAACATACTAGTTTTTTTTAGTTCATATTTTAGCCAAATAGCCAAAAAGTTACTAAATTAGCATGTTCCCAAACGAGGCCTAAACA